CGAGTGACGTCAACGTCTCGGCGAGGGGTTTCAGCATGGGCAGGGACTCGTCATCCAAGTAGGAACAGCGATGGAACTTCACTTCCTCCACGTGTTTCAGACCACCTGCATCGTTCAAACACGGACGCTTCGAAAAAAATAGCTCAGCAGCGTAGGTTTTTAGCGGATTTAGTTGCACTTCATGAAGCCTTTTAAGATGCCTTTCTTCATATCACCCACTATTTTTTTTTTAATGTGGAGAAGTGGACGATGGGTGTCAATGTGACCAGACATGTGAAACCACCGCTTTGGATTTCTTAAGAGATATTTTAGGCGGTTGCAACGAATTTTTTAATTCAAGGTCACTGAATCTCCAGGTTTTGAATTGCCAGTTAACGTAACTTGGCGACTTATGAAACGGTTTGCATTTTCCAAAAAACATAGGTTCAAGTCGTGAATCCTCCCTTATGAAAGCTGAAACTGGCAACAAAAAAATTCATTCCGCCTAGAAGGCAGTTTAAACGATGACGGGAAAACGTATTCCCAATTGGACACCTCCAAATTCTCAACAGCCTCAATTCATTTTGAGGTCAGGTTTTGCTTACCCGCGAATCGAGAAATAAGATGAAGACGGCTTCCACCTGAGAAGGTGTGAACGGTGTCAGAACCTAATGAGCGTCAAAATTCCAGATAAGTTTCTGCCAAAAACAGATTTGCCTAACTCGGAAAAAAATTGCGGCATGCACACAGGTAAACATAACGGAACGGCAAGTGGTTCTATCCGTTCCCGGAAGGGAGGTTAACCAACCACTCTTGAGAAAAACAAGACAGTGTTTTGATTCTGACAAGACAAGAAAGGCCTTTAACGAGTTCTCCACGAGAGTCAAGGGATTTATGAACAGTTAACTAAAAGAGGTTTCAGCATTCGGGCCTCGGTAATTACCCTCACTTTTTGGGTCTCATCGAAGACTTTTTTTGTTGCGAAGAGGTCCCTGAAAAGCCTTCGAGAATTTCTCACTGCCGGCAACGACTACGAAATCCTCCTGCATAAGGGTAGCTACACTGGTTGTTTTTTTTTTTTCATATATCGCTGTGAAATAAGGGAGCGCCATACGAAGATGTCGGAAGCCAGTGCTCATGACGCAGGCCTGCTCGGCGTTGATGGCCTGGATACGAAGCCTCCTCCCCGACATCCCTGGCGTCGAGAGGGTATTGTAATCCGAGACCCATTTCTCGGGGTATTCCTTCCACCGGACGTGGGCACCGCAGCGGAGGAGCCACTCCGCGCATGCGCGGTCGGCTCCCACTTCCTTGATCCGGCTCTCGTCGACCCTGTGGGACACGATCCGAGTCAGTTCGACACATCACCGTGCGAAGCGAGGAAAGGCCTCTGCGGTTATCTAAGAGGACCCTTTTAAACACAGAGGCACCGCTGGTGTAGGTGTGATAACATGCAAGATTCTTAATCTTGCGACCCGGGTTCGATCCCCGGGCGGCGCACTTTCTTTTTAGTCCCATCATTTTATAAATATGGTTTCATAAGAGATCCTCGCCAATGTCTTAATGTATTCGTCCCATATGACAGAGTCAGCGCAGTAGCTTCAACTGACTCAAGTTTTTTAATGTAAAACGCTGCTCAGCAACCGAGTCGATAAACGCGCTCGATAATGAGGTGCCCACATGCTGGCCTCTAGGTTGAAAAGCCCCTGCTGCTATCTCGTTCATCGCTGTTCATATAGGGCTAGGAGGACCCTCGCAAACAACGAGGCGCCGCTGGTGTAGTGGTATCATGCAAGATTCCCATTCTTGCGACCCGGGTTCGATTCCCGGGCGGCGCACTTTTTATCCTCCTCTTCTTTTTCGTCCCATCTTTTCCTGCTGCTC